AAATGACTATCAAGGTCGTCCATTGCATCCTCTGCTAGATGAAGGATCATTGCCTTTTCAGCCCTTGTAGTGTTACGTGCTATTTTTGACACCAATTTGATATAATTGTTATATGTATGCTCATTTGTCCATTTTTCCTTGATCCTGCTAATGAGTATCTCAGGTGTTTGGAACAAGGAAAGAAGATTGTTGCCTTTGAGTTGATTTAGACGCGATTTATCCTGTTTCTTGGTGTTGGGTGACTGCTGAATCCTGTCAAGGATGGCATGTAGCATTTCATATAGAGCCGACTTGGCATCAATGGATTGGTGGTCTTGTTGCATTTTCAGGGCTGATCTGTATTCTAAGAATAGAAGCCGGTTTACCTCTTATATAGACATTTTATTTCATGTTTTATCAATAGATTTTCTCCATCTATCGACCTATGCCAGAACATGTTGTCTTTGATGCCGAATCATCTATTGTAGATAAGATTTTTCCTCTAGTCAAACAACTGTACCGGATTCTTGCCAATGCTTCTGGGAAATCACCCACACCACCACCTGATGGTAAGACGATCAATATAATGTTAGCGGAAGATGAACCTGTTTTAAGATCAATGTTTACGAGGTTCTGGAAGAGAGAACCTAATGTTACGGTATTCACAGCATCTGACAGTATTGAGGCCGTTGAACTCTTTAAAAAGCAATGATTTAATATCATTTTTGTTGATATCGACATGCCTTACAAAAATGGAGTGGAAGTAACACATGAAATAAGACCGTATGAGAGGGAACACAATCTAGATCAAACGCCTATAATAGGAGTGTCCGGATTCATGGAGCGTCAGTATGAGGAACAGGCTTTGGCTGCCAGTATGAACAAATTTGTATCAAAAGGAACAGGGTATCAATTGAAAGATATTTACAGAATCGTTGTAGAATACTGTGGAGAGCCAGTTACAAAGACCTAACAACACATGGAACGAGGCAAATGGAATCGATAGAAACTTTTTGTATTTCTATGTAAGGGTTATAACCTGATTATATTCCCCCTTGGGGAATATCACTATGCCTTTCCCTAGAAGCTTCCCAACTCTTGGATTGAGCTAGTTTTTCCTCGGCTAACTTTCCACGTAGAGCGGGAAGAAGCTGTAGAGCTTCCTCTTTCTTATGAGCTTTCATGTTCCTGATAAACTGAAGCCATGTAAACCCCATTACAGCCATCGGAAGCTTCTTTTGGTTCATCGGATTTTTTGCCAGATTTCTTTGTTCTTCATACCATTCACCCAACAGATGTAAATCAGCGTCACAATCTGCTATCTTTACTAAACTTGGTTTCTCACAAAAAACTGGAAGAACTCCAGCACCAAGCATATCGACCATCTTATTCCATCATCTAGCATCATTGTCTTTGGTCAGATAGAAGTTGTAATAGCAGACGTAACATAAAGCTTTCAGGAAAACCTGCATGCTTTTGGCATTTTGCAGATTGTGCAGTTCTTTGAACAATGACTCCTGATTGATGATACTGCACACCTTTGCGATTGATATTTTCACCTCATCAATTACATCGAAACATGCATTGTGATTCTCTATATGTTCGATCCATGGTTTTATTGTGTCGTATTTGCCGAAATTTATAACTTTTGTTTGTTTTCTTTTCCTGAAGTCCTCGGGTACTTCTATGGTCATACGTTTGGCTTCGGCATTACAGAGGCGATCTTCCAAATCGCGTATTTGTTTTTTATATTCTTCATTCTCAGCCGCCAAATTCTGAATCTGAACCACTGCTTCGCCATGCCACTGATCCATCTTTGATATGTACGTTTCCTGCTCTTTCAACAATTCGTTAAGGCACTTTGTTTCACGGACTGCAAAATGCGCAGTGTCCATGTCTAAGGTTTCTCCATTTTTCACCACATGGGACAGTTTCATCAGCATTTCATTACAAGCGCTCATTTGGTATGGCAGAGGAGCATCAATGCATAATTCCGTGAAAAAATCAACAATTAATTTTTGAGATGCATCGAGTTGCTTAGGCTTTGTGGGACGGTGAGAGGTGGAATGTCGATTAGGCTTTGCGGGTTGAGATGTACTTGCAGCAAGGTTTGTAGATGCTTGTGATGGCATGGCTTCCATCTAAACTAAGTTGAGATGTACTGCTGCATTTCTTCTGGCTTTTTATGTGATCAGTTTAGTACATGACTTTGCTGAATAGCTTACTTAGTATTGTGATAAAATAAGTAACAAAGAAGATCAGGTCACATAATCTTATCGATAAGATGCACTTTCTTCTGGCAGTTGCACCCTGAAAAATGTTGTACTTAAAAAAAAGCATATTAACTTGAAGTAAACCTTGAAAATATGAATTCAAACCGCCAACAACGTGAATGTTGTGAATGTCTTGGATGTCATAAAATGATTCCTTGGATCAGGTGTTGTCCTAGGTGCAGCAACTGTTACAGAAAGTGGTTGGAAGAATGTGCGAACCAACTTCCGAGATTTAACATCCTTGCAGATAGTGGAGATGAAAGCGAATGATCACCACTGTAGTTTATTTCTGTCAACAAGCCTGACATCCTCTAGTTCGTCCTAGCTTGTTCTAGTTTTTCAAAGGCTAGGAATTTCTCTCTCTACATGTATGTAGTATAATATACATATAAGAATGAATATTTTTTATTTATTAGTAGTATAGTATACCCTACATACCGAAAGACAAGAATCCTAGCCATTCTAGCCCATTTTCCGGCATCAAATCTCACAAATGGTTTCAATTTTCAATTTTTAATTTCAAAAATGAATTTTTTTTGAAAAGTAGAGAAGACCGGGCAAAAAAAGGGCTAGGATTCTAGAGCTGTTTTTGCAGAGTGGCGAGTGAAAATGGCGATCTCCTGAAAAAGCCCTAGTTCTAGGAAATCCAATTTGTTTCATGCCCCAGCCCACCGAGAATGTAGGAAATCTTTTTCGACCTCTTCATATGATATGGCTATCTCTTCTTTCTCTTCCTCACTTTCTTCCTCACTTTCTTCATCCTTTTTCAACATAGCACCTTTCCAGCCTCTGAGATTTTTCTTCTCGATCCATATCTGTCGTTTCGAGTTTGATGGTGGGAACATTGAATCCATGAGTTCATACACCTGTCTAACAAGTTGTGGTGTCTTTGTAAAGGCCTTATCTTTGCAAAATTCGGTGAAAGACATATCTAATGTCTTCACGAGTACAGCATTTGTATCATCTGCAGGCTCGATCATATTGCTAATAAACTGCAATGGGATGTTCTGAGATACTCTGTATTTTTCAACCCGTTCCAATATATCATCTGGATGAACATTTTTCTTCACGCCCTCGGTTTTGTAATCAGTGATGTAAGTCTTGACCAGGAGTGCAAGAAAAGTATTGGCACAATCAAGTATCTGCTTAGTGAACCCATCAACGAGTGGTCTTTCTTCAGGCTTCTCAGGGTCTGGATTGTGAACAAAACGAGCATTACATGGGATAACTATGACCTTTTGCCAAAAGCCATTAGTCTTATCGAGGATCTGCAGTAGATCATTCACAGCAATGAATATCTTGACCCACAGATCAATTTCTCTTTGTTCGTTGTGCAACTGTTGACCGCTTGTTGAATCACCTCCAGCCGTCATCTTTAAAAACTCAGTGTATAGTGTTTTTTCCTCCAGTTTGGTTAAAAAGCCACCACGTTTGAACAACAACGCCATCAAGGATGGAGAAGCAGCCTGAGCATTGAGGTTAGGTTTTGGTACTTGTGCTGTCGGTAGCATAGTGCCGTAATCTCCTAGTACCTTCTTCATTAATTTAATGAGTGTCGATTTAGCGTTATTGCCACTCCCATCAAAGAAATAAAACTGCTGATCTTCATTATTGCTGCTTAGAGCCGAGGACAGTGCTTTCAACAGGAACTTTTTATGTTCTTCATTATCCAGTGTGAAGTCATTTAAAAACTTTTCAACAAGTGCTTTTTTCTCCTGAGGATGTTCATCATAGTCGAGGTAGGTGATCTTCGTAGACATTTTTGAATAGTCACTTGGCTTTGCCTTGTGAAACTTTCCCTTTTTGAGATCGTAGACTCCATTTACACAGTGTAGCAAGTGTTTCTTTTGATTAAACAGTTCGTCCTTTCGTGTATCCCTAACGAGTTCAAAGAATGAGGCCAAGTGATCATTCTTTTTCTTGACCATAGACATGGAATAGACTAAAGAATTACAGATCCCCTGGCATTCACTCCATACGTCCTCTTCATCTTGGCTTAGTTTATTACAAATTAGAGCAAGTTCCTTTAAACGATGAACATAGTCATCAAGGATCGGATGCATAATGACATTCTTGTCTTCTTCACGCCAGATCCCGATACTCTGATCATACATGAGCCATTTGTTATGTTTTTCTGTAGGAAAGACTCAATCCTTGAGTTCTTTATGAAGGGTCTCAGAAACAGCACGGTTGGTGACATCCATTCCCTCGACTAGTTCTTTTGTAAGTGGATGAAAGTCGTGATACATCTGCTCATAGTTTTTTGAGATGCATCTTGAGAACCCTTTCCCTGGTCTACAGACAAATTGAAGCGTAGACCCATTTCGGACAAGGAAAGGATGATTGGTATTGTTAACATGCCGTCTGTCACAAATTGAGCAATCATAGGGCGCACTTGCTGTGATAATGTACAGATTGTTGTGATCTGGGCTTGAAGAGATGGAGAAACAGTCTTTCCAGAACTCGCTTTTTTTGAACATTTCAATGTCTTCATTGCTGACTTCATTGTTTAAGTGCGGCGATTCTGTAAACTCCTGAGCCTCAAAATGTTGAGGATGTTTGCCATGTGCATCAAGAATGTTCTTAAGAATCCAGTTTGGCAAAGGAGCCATTGGCACCTTGAAACCCTCCTTTGTGTCCCATTCATAGCGTTGACATCCCTTCTTGCTGGGCAGAACCATTACGTAACCGCCTTTTGTCCGAATGTCAACTGCGATAACAGAGCCATCTTCCCGCGTCATGCATGCTGTCCAATTTTTCAAGATACTTTCGCCATCCTTACCACTCAAAGAAAAGTAAAAGTGTTTTCCTCCACTGGGTGTGGTGAGTGAGAGTGTAGTGGGCAAAGGTTCATTTTGCTCAACCAGTTCTGCAAAGTCGACTGTTCCGAGGGCTTCACTATAGATTTTACTTTTGGATCATTGCGCAGGTGGCTTTGCGTCAACATCCACAACAATATAGTCATCAGATACCAGTAAACTGAGATTGCAATCCGGTTGCCATTGTTCATGTTTAGGAAAATCTCTTTTGAACAGGTATGAAGGACCACTCCACTTGCCTAAAGGACATTTGTCCTCGACAGATGCGGGGATAGGATTGAATGAAGGATTAGCACGCTTCATTTTCTTGGCAGTTTGGAAAAGCAGTGTTTGTGGCATGGTTTGAATTCGGTGATATATCTGTATAACACACGGACGTATGTATTTAAGTAGCTTTTTTTTGTTCCAGAAAAACTCGACAAATGTGATGAAAAAAAAGACACTACTTAAATGATTTGCCTCATAGTATAGTAAAACAACATACCACTAATGCATTCGAAATTTGACTACATTGCCACAGTGAACCGATTCGGTAATGAGACCTCGATCCACGCACCATCGATAAGGAGACTCGCCAAAGACCTATCATTATGTCACCTAATGGTTAGAAAGTTGGTCAAGGGCGACAAGAGAACCTTGTGGCATGATTTTATAACAATAAGTAGGGTACCAAAAACAGACAAAACGGCCATTTAAAGATATAGACAATAAACAGTGGTAAGTATATTGAACACGCATGACATCATATTTCAATACATTCACAAGGGAACTACTGAATGAATCTTTGAGCGATTTATTTGAGGAAGCCATTTGGGAATGGAAGGTTGAGAGTTTTCACTTAGACAAGGAAAACTGCTGCCTTTGTACACATCCCATCAAAGAGAACTGTTTTGTCCAGAACATCTATACCGGAAAGGTACTTGTCATTGGCAACTGCTGTATAAAGTGGTTTTTCCCAGATGAAGAGGTGGAAAGGGCAGCCAAGATGAGACAGGAACTTGTCAATATGACGCGGAAATGTTTACTGTGTGAAAAACGGTATAAGAAAGAAGGTGTGCTCAACAATGAAGTATGTGATTTTTGTCATTCCCAGAATCTAAAATGTACAGTATGTGAGCAATATTTTCATTGTTCCGATGAAAAAGAGCGTACATGGAAGACAATGTGTCTACCAGACTGGCAGAAAAGCAAAGGGATGGCTATTACCACCACGTGTTCTGCAAGGACAAGTCAGAGGAAAACCAGAGATTGTGCACAGGAAGGCTGCAAGAAAAGAATCCACTTAACAGAGCCAGCATGGAAAATCTACTGCATAAAACATTACAAAAGGCGCTAGGGGGTATAACCGAGAACAATTGAAGGTAGAGATGGTAGAAAAAGTAGCAGTAAGAAGCTAGAGCAGTGAAAGGAAAAAGAATTCCTAGTACATCCTAGCTCGTCCTAGTTTTTCGATGGCTAGGTTTTTTTCTCTCTACATTTATGTAGTATAATTTAACATATAATAATAGATATTTTTATTTATTAGTAGTATAATATACCCTACATACCGAAAGACAAGAATCCTAGCCATTCTAGCCCATTTTCCCGGGTCAAATCTCACAAATGGAATCAAATTTCAATTTTGAAAAAAAAAAATGAAATTTTTTTGAAAAGTAGAGAAGACCGGGCAAAAAAAGGGCTAGGATTCTAGAGCTGTTTTTGTGGAGCAGTGAGCGAAAATGGGCATGTTGTGAAAAAGCCCTAGTTCTAGGATTTTTTCCAGCATCTCCATTAGTTTCCCTTTTTTGCGAAAGGTTACTATCGATGGAAAGGTCACATGAAATATGAGGGAAAGTATTGATAGAATCATTATTCTTCAAAGGAAACATAAGGAAACATACGGATCAGATGGGACATAAAAGAAGGCCATCTTATTGATAAGATGGGAGAGTTCCTTTTCCGTTTATAAAAGAGGGTCGCCAGTCTCCCCCCAGTCCCTCCCCAGCTCGAAGCCTTCTTTTCAAAAACGATTCCATATACAACTGCAATTAACAATGGACTATGCAAATGATTGTGTGCTGGTGCCGAGATGGATATTGGAATGGTTGCTTTCAGGGAACAATGGACACCAAAGTCTAGAGCAAATCTGCATGGATTGTGGAAGGAGGTTTCAATTGTGAAGAATTGGACAGAAAGGATACAAGTTTCGATGCTATCCTTGTTGGAAGAGATATGTGGAGAGACGAGTCCACAGACGAGTCCACAAGCTATGATGTCGAAGGCTGAGAGATGGAGTCCCAAGATGAAGTGATATCATGGAGTCTTGAGAAGAAGCAAATGTCAAGTTAGAACCAGTGTTGACTTTGAATTAGGTGGAGTTTGGACATGTGAAATATTAGATGCGTAAAATTTTATGGGTAAGTGCACTATACTGCATATCATCCCTTCATCAATAGTCCCAGACTTGGACAAACACCTTGGAAGACTCAAAACACTTTGAAACACTCCAATGCATTGGGCAAACACCTTGGAAGACTCGAAACACTTTGAAACATTTTGAAACACTCCAATGCAATATGGCTTATTTATAAACCGGGTATATCATATTATAAGCCGGGTATATCATAATTATAAGCCGGCTGCTACAGTGCAAAATAAGCCCATTGGCTTATTTTGCACTGTAGCAATGACGCCTTTTGGCTAATAGCATGTAAATGCTCAAAGAGGATCCACGTATGGCCCCTCAAGAGCACCGCGACAGCTATTCAGGTTGCGGAACTCTTTATAGAATGCTACGTCCCATTGCATGGCATTCCGGAGACTATTATCTCGGACCATGACCCCAAGTTTATGAGTCGATTTTGGCAGGAGGTCTGCAAAAACCTAAAGATTAATCAAGAGCTCACCACAGCCTACCACCCTCAAGGTGATGGACAATCAGAGAGAGACAACGCAATGGTCTTGTAGGTCCTTACCACAATGGTCAACACCCGATTAGATGACTGGGACACCTTTCTTCTGGTTGCAGAATTCATTATCAACGATACAGTACATGAGGCGACAAAAATGACGTGATTCAGAATGGACCTAGGCTATGAGCCCCACAATCCACTGGTGGATATCATCAAAAGGCCATCAGAAACCAGAAATGCAGATGCGGAAGAGCTCTGTAAACACCTCGGTGACCTAAACATCCTTATCCGAGATCTGATGATCGAAGCCCAGGATTTGCAGAAAAGATATTATGATTTATCACAATGATATTTGGAGTTCCGGAGAGGAGATAAGGTGCTTCTGAGCATGAAAAACCTAGCAGGGTATGAGTCCAAGATTGCTCCGAAATGGCTGGGACCAGTCACGGTGATTGACTGTAACCCTCTCCACAACAACTACAAGTTAAAACTGCCAGACAAGATGAGATGACTTCACCCATGGTTTCACATATTGAAATTATGTCCGTACCAGAAGCCTGTCGACACCGAAACTGAGGGAAAGGTTGCGGAAGCTCAAACGGAGGATTCCGATGCTTCAGAAGGCGAGTTCGAAGTGGAAGCAATTGCCATTGGCTTATTTTGCACTGTAGCAGCGATAGTAGACCATTGAACCAGGCACGGAAAGTGTCAATTTTGAATATGTTGGGCCGGATATCCACCCCATGAGGATACATGGGAATCAGAGGAAGACCTAACAGAGGCTTCTGAAGCCTTAGAAGAGTACTGGAGATCCAGAGCTCCCACTAGCACACTAGTAGAGGACTCTTTGGTAGTCAGCCTTGAAGGCGATGCCCCAGAAGATATGGCTTATGCTTCTGACCACCAATGCTTCGCGGTTTATCCAGACAATAGCTCACATGATAATCATGCCCTCTCACCAGAAAGAAAACCAGTTTTGCATGGCTTACCTCACCAGTCGAGAATGCCACACCAAGCCTCCCGATCACACTTATGTGCATCCAAGCTGTCAAAATCAGCTGGCGACGACCTTAAAAGGACACCCCTGCATGCTCCCCCTCTTTTTTCTTCTTCAACTACCTATGACCTATCTCCCTTACAGACCTACTCTGCTTTGCAAACCTTTTCTATTGACACCAAAACACAAACTTTCATTTCCGACACCATGACCACCAATATCCGAGGACAATGAGGAGTCAGTATCCTCTCTACCCTTGAGGAAGGCTACCCCTGGGCAGAAGGAAGCAATGCCTTCGGAGCCGAGAACTCTATCGAGTGGCTCGGGGCAGCTATGGCCACCTGGGTTGAAGTTTGGATTCGTGAGTTGTTCAAAGACCCAAACAAACCCCTCAAACACTATCGTGGTGAAGATTGGGTGGTAGACGGGGCTTCGAAGCCGTATGCCATGAGCCAGCCCCTCACAATGCATATAGCAGAGCCCTACAGTAGGGCTTCCGATGGCGGTCAAGCAGCTGTCGGTATCATCGCTGATGCAAAAAAGATGGGGAAGAGATTACAGGACGTACCCTGCACTGCCTGGCTTGACGCTGGAGTCCCTCAACATGTGGCTGGAAACCCCAAAATGACCCGCTTCACCCTCTGGCCCAATCGTGAAGCCCATGATTTCATGGAGATAGCCATCGAAGCCACGAGAGCAGTATTGCTAAAGCTAGCCAACGCAGCTGAAACCACAGAAGAGCAGCTCCGTCCCAAACATCGGGAGCATGCCTATTACCACTTTCGAGCAGTTAACTTGAAAAGGGCCGCGGAGACATTCACAGCCCTTTATGTAACCCAAGCCAACGGTTCCAAGACCCCTGGAACCCCAGCTCCGGAAGCCACTGACCAAATTTGGTTCTGTGCAAATGTCATGGGGCATGCTACCATAATCTGGATGATCAATGAAGACAGCTTTGAAGCTGACGATGACTATCCAGTTGCATCATGGTAGAAGCGAGGTTCGGGCACTCACATACGAGTCGCTGAACCTTCTTTTTCGAAGGGGGGATGTAGCGAATGACTCTGATAAACCGGTTCGCTCAAAGGCATCAGGTGACCATGATTGAGGTTTCTGCAATTGTAACCTAAGCTTCGAAACCCCTAAGATCAAGCTCAGTTCTGGGCTACACCAGTGCAGCATGAAGGATACATTACGCAGCCATGATTGATCATGGCAATGGTCCGAGATGGGAAGATTGGACGCCGCCACCCTAATGAAGGCTACGGAAACTAGTGTAGACATTACTGTAGCATATTCTTGTATAAAAAGACGAATTCAATAAAATAAGTTGGCAGGCAGAAGCCATAGCGACACTAAATCCCCACAACTAGCTTCTCAACTCCAATCTTAGGTTACCAGGAACCTAACAGAGCACTTCAACGGCCTGATCACCCACACTGAAGCCTCTAAATCCTGCTCGGTTCACAACTAACTGACTCTCCTTGCCTCTTGCCCCCAATTCGCTACTGACGCCCAAAGAAAGGATTCGGAGACTACGATTCCTAGTATGGACACCCACATAACCTGCTAGGAGACCCAAGTTGTCTTTACCGTAGTCTACCTACAAAAAATCCGTTACAATTGGATTCACAACAACTGCGTAGGTGAGTGGATTGTCAACAAGAAAAGGCAGATTGAGCAACCAAATCTCTTCAAGAACCTTGCTCTCCAGTGGTGTTAAATCCAGCGACTCGGGCATGATATCAAAAAGAAAAACTGACTTTAAGTAGTGAAGCTGAGTAAAGAAAGCTTTCCGCACATCACTTTTCAGTGGCAGTTGCTGCTTCTGTCCCTTCACGTCGAGCGGCAGATTGATATATCGAAGGAGCATCTGCATGAAATGCTCTTGAACATTGACTTTCAGGTTCATCATCATACTTGCTGTCAGGTAATTGATTGACTGCTGCTCGCCTCATAGATTTGGATGAACGAAGCTGATGATGTGGCAGTACCATTGAACATATGGCAGCAAACAATCCCGCCATGCCTTCTTTGCTTCCTTTCTTGGATGCCAAGCCTCCCCCTTGTTGAGAAGATACAGGATGGCTTCGATTGTATCTTCATTTACTGTGGGAAAGGTTGGTGCAGATAGGATGTAGAATTTCAGCACGTGGGAAGTGTGGTCGGTGAGTTGATGGATGATGGCAATGTAATCTAGCAGCCGTTGGTGGTAGATCTCATTTGGCAGGAAAGCTTTTGCAAAAAGTTTTGTTGCAGGTATGTAAGGTGGGTTTGTCAAGTTTTTCAAGCTTTTGCTTTTTCTTTGGCGGCATGATGATTGGAATAGAAAAATGGATGAAAACCTGGGAAATGGGCAGAGAAGGCGGGTTTATATAGAAATATGACAACTGCGCATTGGACCTGTTTTTCAATGGTGGAGCAACTGCAGAATATTCAATCCATTCGTTGCCGCACGTATTGGACCCGTTTTTTGGTTTATCTTCGTGAGGTTCACAATAAATGTGGTTAATTCAACTGGCTGCAATGCTCCGTGGCACTGACATTTCTATTTTCCCACACACTATGTTTCCATCACCGCAACTCCACTCCCAATCGTTCCTTGGTAACCTGGCGGACTTGGTCTTGTATGCGATCCACCTCTTCATTAGTGAATGTCCTGCATCCAGCCACTTTATTACAAATAGCACAATCAAGGTGGTTATCAATGGCAGGTCAACGCACCTGTCCATGGACCGATAGTTGATCCGAAAACATCGGCTCGTCCGTTTAGTTTTGGGATGTTGGAATTGATCAATCTAAGAAAATCCATAGCTCAGTCGATGCCCAAGGGGGATCTAATTCCTCACAGGCCAAATATCACACGCACCAACTCGACATTTTCCGCTAAATCCCCAGCAACATCGCGAACAACTTCCGCAAAATCATTGTCATGAAACGTTTCCGAACACCAGAACGAGATATCTTTATAGCACGCAGGGTATTTGGAAAAGGGTTGGAATTTGACGATTTGGCCCGATGAGAATTGGGAAATGAAGCGATCATCGGTTGACCAGAAAAGTCGAATATCGGGAATGTCGAACATGACCATGGCGATACGTTCGAGACCGAGTCCAAAGGCCCAACCAATACGGTCAGAGTTGCCTGTTTTGTGATCATCGGTTCAGTCATTGCCTAACGATTGGCGAACACTTGGAAGCGCACCTGATTTATCCAAAATCTCTTGCTGCATGACACCGCAACCCAACAGTTCCAGCCAGTTTCCTCTATAAAACACTTCCATCTCCCAGCTCGGACTCGTAAAGGGAAAGTACGCTTCAATCCACCTGATCTGCAAATCTTTCTCCTCTCTAAATAAATCCCTCACCATCCCCTCCAACGAATGCCGTAAATGCAGGTCCACCAACTGTGCCTCGCGAGTAGTATGTGCAGGCTGAATAGGATTTGACTCTGAAAGTACAGCACCTTGTATTGCGCTTGTCTCTGAATCCACCTTCGCTTCCTCCTCAATTTTTTTCTTGTCAAATGTCCGGATTCCCTCCATTTGATGAAACACTGGGTAATGGCTCACATCAATCTCGTCCCTTCTGTAGACATCGGCTGTAAGGAGGTACCCGTCAGCCTTTCGTGTTTTTAGTACATCGGATTGATGGGCACTTGTATGAGTGCGAAGGACTGTGTTTGTATTGACGTAGTACGTATCGGTGGCGGCACGACCCGGATGGTCGGGCGTAAAGAGGAGAGAGTCAAAATTTTGATGAACTGTTACTACTGGGTCCATTGAGTCCATGACAGCATAGTCCCTAAAATGGCTTTCAATGCGGCGTTTGAGAATGTTGATGGGATGATTGCGTTGCAGATGGAGTCGTCGTGTGGTTTTGGATACGATGGTTGGTGATACATTTGTCGCCGAGTCTGTTGGATGAAGGCGGCCAAGGATCTCAATGTGTCCTGGGTAGGCAGTAGTTGTTAGCAGATGCCCTGATAACGGGTAAGTAGAGAAGCTCCTACCATCGGTCGTCGGCTGGCTTTGGGAAGCGGCCGCTGTCGAATATAAACAGCCGACCCATCCAGTCCTCGCACTTACGGGAGATATCGGCTGACAAGGCGCGGTAGTACGACATCTAGCATATAGAACGTTAGATACAGTCCGCCACCGAGGTATAGGCCTTGTGCACTGTCGAAGCATGGCGACATGCAACCAAGGCAAGGATTCGCCAGAGGAGGAAGTTGAAAGATGGTTGGTGAGTCACCGACGTGTCGCCATGACAACAATAATGCTTACGCGCAGCACACGTCCAGCGGTCCCGCCGAAGCAACCTTCTCGCCCAAACACTTCATTATTGCCTCATTATTTCCCTACTTTTCACCCACCATGCACAGCCCAAAGTATTCTGTACTTCTTCCTACGTACAACGAGCGCCAGAACCTCCCTATAATAACATGGCTCTTGGTGAAAGCGTTCACTGACGCGTAAGTCTTGCCCTAAACACGCACTCGCTGAACACCAAGCTAACTCCCTGCAATGTAGACAGCTGAAATACGAGATCATTGTTATCGATGACGCGTCTCCAGATGGTACTTTGGAAGTGGCCAAACAGTTGCAGAAAGTTTATGGGGAGGACCATATTGTGCGTGAAACGTAGCTGTCGTGTCTTGTTGCTAGAACGCCTCACCCTTACTGTCAATGTCGACGTTGCTGACAGGTTCTGCGGCCGCGAGCGGGAAAATTGGGATTGGGTATGTGAATAGTGTGTGTTTTGATAATGATTGTTCTGCCAGTGGTCATACGTTAACATCCAAATCACAGGTACCGCATACGTGCATGGTATACAACATTCGACTGGCGATTACATTTTTATTATGGATGCGGATATGTCACATCACGTAGGTTAGATACGCAGCCAGTGAGGAAGTGACAACTTTAACCATTCTGTGGCATCTACAGCCCAAATTCATTCCGGAATTTGTGAGGTAGGGAATCGTACTGCCCAGTTTGTGAATCCAGGAAAACTCATGTTTGCCCATTTTTCCTTTTCGCTAAGGTTACAAGCAAAGTACAATTACGATGTTGTCACAGGAACAAGATACCGTAGCGGAGGAGGAGTACATGGATGGGACCTCCGTCGGAAACTGACATCGAGGGTGGCCAACTATCTGGCTGACGTGCTACTCAATCCCGGGGTCAGTGATTTGACGGGCAGTTTTCGGTAAGAGGCACCGTTTCCACGGCGGTCAGTCGGCACTCACGCTCATTCAAATTAGACTCTATAAAACGGATGTTTTGAAAAACCTCATTTCAGTGACCAAATCGAAGGGTTACGTCTTTCAGATGGAGATGATGGTCCGCGCACGTCAGTTCCATTACTCCATCGGTGAGGTGCCAATCACTTTTGTCGATCGGGTGTACGGAGAGTCGAAACTAGGCGCAGATGAGATAGTACAGTATCTCAAGGGACTGTGGGCCCTCTTTACCGATGTTTGAAAAGTATTGCTGCCGAATTACCGACATAGGAGCGTTGCCATGAGAGTTTGGTGCACAGATTACACAATGATCGGTATTTACAAGAGGGAGATCAAAACAGTACATATATGTACAGCTATATATACATAGACAAATAGCAATTCACAGACGTTTTGTCCGTTGCTTCATCCACCGCGCTCTTGCCAGCACAACCGCCAGCACACCCATTACACAGCCAATCGTAACCCCGGCTCTTGCCAAAACTATTCCCCAGTTCCATCTAACTTTTATGACTTTTCGCGCTCCTTTCCACCAACCCAATTCCCTGATCAACATCCGATCATCGACAACAATGACCTGTAGAGGTCTTCGGCAAACGGGACAGCGCCTCCCGAATCTCCGCATCCTAAACCATTTGCTCATGCATTCTATATGTGCTACGTGTGCATGAATTTTACAGAAGCTTTGTAAGGCTCCAAAGGTGGGCGCGCCGGTCGTATTTTCGTCGTTCAGTCCAACACCCAAGCAAACGACGCAATCTTCATCATGGGCATCAGGCGGAGGGCTGTACCCTCGTATTGTCATAACAACTGGCCCCAATACCGTATGCGAGAGTATCAGGTACATCAACTCGTCAAGCGCAACAGTCACAAACGTCCCACCGACGAGAACGGGTATGAAGCCTTTCCTTCCACCGTCCGGTATTCTTACGCCGTTGACTCCCCAGACAACTCCGTACGCGACGACGAGGTGCCAGCAAGCAAGCACTCTTCGTTCATCCTCTGCAGAACCCCAACCGCGTTGTTGGAGGAGCAGCGAAGCCTTTGACCAGGATGCGCAGGCCCAAGCGAGCAAGACAATATTTAAAGCAAGATGAGGTGTAGGTGTGGGTGTAGGGGGGCGCAGGGAAAGTGAGGATGAGAACCACCATATCTTGAGAGCCGATAGGCAGACGTCTTGAAGGAGCATGGCTGTTGTGCAAGTTCAATGTCAAGATGGGGTTGTGGAGGAACAGTTGGTTTAATGCTGTGCTAATCGCCGATTTGACACGTGAGTCGTATGAAGGTCAACAAACAGCATCGTTGACGGTTGCGTCAATGCTTGCAAACTATCAGCTACTATGTATGCTTTGTCGACCAGCTCTAAAGACATTTATCTTCCTGTGCTTATGCTTCGCTTCATCATCTTCGCGCTGCATTACATTGATCAAATTCTTTGGTGATCTGGGCGATAATCTCTCCATATACGTGCGGTCTTGACATGTTTTCCTTCATAATGAGAGGCCAAATATCATTGGAAAGCAAAGTAGTTTTTGGAACATTTACGACTTCGACTTGACCCATGATTCAGCCATCTGCAGCTGCCGTCGACAACAACAAGTAGACATAGGGACTGTGATAGAACCTCAGGACATGGCCTTGAAAGCAGGATCGAATAAAAGCTTACAAGAACGATGAGCCATAGTCTGTGGGGCTCAATCGAGTTGCCAAGTTGGTTGCAGTGTCGACCTGGTCTGTACTTGTGATTTGAAAATACACAGTGGTGAACGAGTTTGTGAGGAAATATAATTCAACCAGAAAGCAAAGAGTCTACTTGTAAGTACCCCTCATTTATTAGGTTGATCCAAAAGAATAACCTACCTGTTGATTAACTTACCTGTCCAAAGCCCTCCCTCAGCTCTTAAAGCTTCATTGGGACCCACTCGACTATCGCAAGCAATCAGTCTTTGTCCTCCTGTCCCGGGATTCGAACACTGGATAGTTGAGTTCGCATGTCTGCGGCTTAACCACTTGGCTATTCTGCCTCCGTTAGTCTTTATATTGTGTTGCTTTTTAGGGGGATGTGCACTTTCGCGCACGCGGAGAACGTTGGACCTTGGATGCTGCGCGCAAGCAACGCGTTGGCACGTGACTGATTAGGTCAGGATTTGAAAGATGCAAACAGGAATGACTTTGCTGATAGCCAGAGTTGTGATGCAACGGCTGGCTGGCTCGGTTCATGGCTTGACCTTATGGAGCCAAGCTGAAGCCGAAGCCGTCAAAAGTACGGATCTGGAGCCAAGCTGAGGAAATGGCTCGGCTCAGCCTACGGCATCACTACTTGTGAAGCAGAAGAAAGAGTCCACGAAATTTATCATGATATAAGCTAGCACCCCTGAGGAGCTTGTTAGAGTATGTGATGCTGATACTACGGGATAACCTCGGCAACACCCCTTGGGATCGTCTCCATTTGCACTCTTGGGACGGCAATGAACGAGCCGAACCAAACGACCAACCCGACAATGTCCCTGTCTGCTAGTTGCCCTGGCAACGCGCCGAACCAAGTTTAGCAGCTGGAAATGACCTCTCAGCTTGAGTGATCTACGATTGTTCACCATGTTGCGTCGGAACATATGGATATCCCCGCGATGCCTCAGTCATGCTTTACTTGGCAGGAATGTACCGTCTCATCCATTCCGGCCGCTACTTCCTGCCGCACGTAACCTCCACATCCAACACTTCCCATCCAGCGACGTAAGACGCAAGATTCAGGCGAACCGAACAACAACCCAGGCTACTTTGGGACCCTCTCTTCATCCACTGGGCTTGAGATTCGCTAGTGCAAAGCAACAGCTTATGCGTGGACGACCTGTTGATTTGAATATCGCTGGTAGTTGACACGTTGATATTTACGGTCCCGTCGCTTAGGTGTCGTTTTTGACATGTGCCCTTCAGACCCGTTTGTACCCTACCCATCCGGAAAAAGGCCTCCTCTTCTGTCAGAGGAAGGCAAGGAGTATGCAAAACGGCGGCTGCGAGCCCTATTTATATCTTTCATCTCGTGGGTATAAGCAATTCAGATCTGTTTTTGGGTGCGGAAGATTCTTATATCTTTGACGTTGTTAGTGCGTGGCGAGTGAGAACGCACATTAAGGGATGGAAACCTAAACCTTTTGCGTATGAGGCCCAAGAATTGTATACTGCAATGAATCATGCTTTTGCCAAGTGCGTATATACTTGAACCCACGTTTTTTTTTGACGTTTGGAGGGCTCATTTACTACTTGACAGAGGAGACAAGGATGAATTGCGGTGTTTTGTCACGGACAGCATGCTTGCTGTAAGTGTAACGTCCTCATTGACTCAAAAGATATTGAATCACTGAACCGTAAATGATGTTGTACTAGAACTTGAATGCAGACATGAAAGCCGCTAGTAGGGTGGGCAGATACGAATGGAAATCACACGGTCAGTTTGAACACCCAACTACCGTGCACATTGCAGCCGTCAAAGTGCAGTTTGAGAAGGGTGGACCACAGTACCATCTAGCCCAAGTCACTGTCAAAGTCTCTTTGAAGCAGGTAACTTCGTTTGATTGGTAGGTTACTCCACTGTCAGCTAAACGAGATGCTTCTTCTTCTCTAGTCTGTGGCGTTTTACAACAAGAATAATGTCTTAGTAGGTGGCAACCCGAACGATATCAAGAATGTCACCGAGTATATTGTGATGGAGCGATGGTTGGATAATCCTGAGTTGGATGAGGATTGGAGGATAGCCGGCAAGATTATTCCCCCATTCTGATTTTTCTGACACCTGAAACCCAGAGTAGCCAGCGTATTTATTTCCACACTAGAATGAGTTGTTTGCGAGTGGATGGAATTGTATCAAGCTTATATGTAGCGTAGGAACAGATTAGAACACATTCATGACATTTTCTACATGATGACCACCCGGCGGATGCACACCCTCACGCGCTCCGTGAGAACTCTCAAGTAACACCATTGCCCTATTCTTTTCACTCCACCGCACTGCATCAAGTCACTGATACGTATATGTTTGCGGACAATAGCTGAGCACATATGGAATGAGGTGGCGGCAGTCAGAAGGGAGATCGGTGGAAAACAGTGATCGGTTCATCTGCGGAAGTGACATAAGCACATGGTCACATGACCGTACAAAGAGCCCGTTAAGCTGCCTTGGGTCTCGGAAATCTCACTCTTGTGATGCTCCTAAAGTATTCTCGTAAAGTCTGCTATCATCAAAGTGGTTCAACATGGTTGGGCGATGGGCTACTCTCAAGATTGCTTGCAGCCATCAACTTTGGTGGGAACGCCAGCTCACCTTGAGTACGATGGGCTCCAGCTGCAGTGCTGGGGTTTAACCACTGTCCGCACGGCCTCTGGAAAACTGTCAAAGGCACCTGGGCAAAGTCCCGGATTTTTCAGACTCTGAGCCAACATCGCTCTTCTGCCACACAGGTTCTCTAATCATCTATTTGCATGGGATCTTGCTAAGCAGATATTCTGACTTGACTGGTCTGGGGTGATTGGAACAACATGAGGGTCCTCCCATCGCCAGATATTTGAAGTATTCTTCAAACCGGTAGATCCTGCCCTTCCATGAAGTAATATCATTCCCAGCCGAGTGCCAGCTGCGGCGTGGTTCATCGGGTTTTATTCCCCACTCTGCTATCACATACTGATCATCCTTTTCTTCATTGTCATGATTATTCGGTGCATCTTATTACTCTTTGCATGTCGCATCGACGCTATCGAGGACTATAGAGGACCAAATTTGAGACTTTTTCTTTATATTGATTGTACTATAATGATTTACTTTACCTAGGCGGCCAATGTTTTACTACCTTCCAAAATTCGCAAGATTTCAGTGGTAGTTCCATTAAGAATGGGGCTACTAGCTGATGATTTAGAGATGTTGAATTTGTCCTGCAAATATGGTCAAAAAAATGTCCAATGCCGATGTTTAATCCTAACTCATTTATTAGTATTTGTTACCGTGTTAACTAGGAGTGATTTATTGCACATACTTTCTTTTACTTACTTTAATAATTAGGATTGGCATCTAGTCCTTCAAATGGGTCAATTCTAATCTTTGGTGACTTTAGTTCTCATACTGGGGAGTGACTCGGTTGGAACACACGGATGAAACAGGCAAAAAGATTAAAAGCATTATATGTCTATGCGATCTGATGGGTTCACGTTCGTTATGCAAAATGACACTGAACAGCGGTCAACGCTTGCCAAATGAGATTATCATCCACATTCTGAACTTTTGTAACGTGCACACTCTACGGGTTATGGAAACCGCAAGTAAGGAGATGCGGCAATTAGGTGTGTTCCCATCCATCTTGTTTTGGAGAGACAGAAGGTGCTCACAATTGCAACCCAGTAAACGTCGCATTCCAAACCCTGGCACTTAGTATATGGCCTGATGAGTATACGAAAGAGCTGCTGGAGTTGACAACGCAGGAAGACCCGGCTGCATTTTACGTTCCGTACAGCAATCAGAATATGATAGTCCAATCTGTATGGAGAAGATATTACGATCATCGAACTGTGTGGTCATCAAATGGTAAACACATCAGTCACAGTCGAGGAGGCTCCTATTACGAGACAGACTGGACGAATTTACACGGATTGTCGTTCTTGATGAAAGAGAAGACAAGAGTATTAGAATATCATTTTGCAGAAGCTATTCGCTTAATTGAAGAGAACAGAAGGAAATGAATATTTATTTTGGCTGCAGAAGCAACATTGTACTGAATAAACAATGCGAGAAAAGAAACTGATTCCTTGCCAGTAATCGCCTTTTGCGCAAATACCTGCGGAGCCGGTGCATTGCTCGCCTACCCGCTGCTGCTCTCCTCCAGCAGTTTGCTGCAGAGCAAAAACAAGCGACTGGGCTTACCATTGCTATAGCAACAATATAATCACGTGCATTTTCTATGACAGTCGGAATCGCCCGAGCGAAATGGATCTGGAGAAACGCGGGCAAAGGGGAGAAAGCATTGGGCACCAAGTAAATTGTGTCATCGCTATTAGCGCTCCTCTGACCTGAGGTTTGGTGTCGGCTAGGGAAATAGGGTTGTGCACATTTGCGTCTTTAGGGTTCTTGGCGGAGTTGTCTTTCTCTTTGCGCATTGTGTAAACAGGGGAGCTCTCGCCGCAACACTCGCCCCGCTAGCACCTAACCGCATCCTGATGCGCTCACAAAGGACTTGCCCGTCTTGCGGCCTTTCTCTCCTTCCAGTCCCTTTGCCGCCAGTAAAGCACGCGCTAAACGACAGTACCGACCATACATTTGCGATTGATGAGCTTCGCGGCCACGTACCGCCTGCTGCCGCTAGCAACATTCGAAAGCCTTACCAACATCTTTACTCTCAACAGCAGCTTCTCGCTATGTCCGTCTATGCGTCAACGATACCCATATCTCACCCGAAGCGGCCGCGTTGCGATAATTGGGGGACAATGTTTGAAATGGAGGCAAATGTCGTCCTCCGGAAGGCAACCTTGCGAACGTCAGCGGAAGACAATGCAAAAACATGGCCATGTGCAAAGCCAAGGGCGGGGTCGACAAGACACTGTGGCTCAAAGGAAGGAGGAGCTTCATCATCACGGCAGAGTGCGGCATGTTCACATAGGAATAGCTGGCGAACTGGCTTGCGTTGTGGGTACAGATAGTGTTACGTGTTCCTTTCACAGTAACCACTTTGCTCATGAAAGCCGCGAGCATTGTGTAAGTCTGGGAAGGAATGGCGGCGGGGTCGATGAGAGTGGAGAACGTATGTCGGTGAAGCACGAGGGAGGTAGTGGGAAGGCACTTTTGGTCCATGAAATAGTCGAGGAGCTTCGAGCGCACCTTAGAGATTTAACTCATGTCGATGCAAGCAGGGTATGGTGGCTTCTCGTACATGGGTCTCGGTACGGTGCGGACCAAATGACGAATCTCGGTCTAATTCTGGAATTGCTGACCCGTGAAGAGATCCGTGCTGTGATCAATGCATTGCGAAGACTGCCTAGTCCGCATAAGGCGCTGAAGCTAATTTATAAACTAATTCGCTGGATGAAGGCAGCTGGACTGAAGCCGAATGCCGACGAATGGAACGTAATTGTTTGGTTGTACCTATGGCGCCTAGGACAAGACCTGGACAAGACCCACAGGCTTTGCAGACGGCTGGGCAGTAGGAGATATGGCGAGCCAAATATGGATACCTGGATTTTGTTTTATGAAAGAGCCGTCGCGTCTCGAGATCGGAGAGGCATGGATTGGGTGGTCGCAGAAATGCGGCAACAAAGTGCACTTATCGATACGAGAGTGGTGTGTCAATTCCTAAAAGCTCATGCTGCCGAAGGTGACATTGCCGGTGCTCTACACCTATATCGAATGTTACCCTCCCTCGGCATTATACCCGACTTGTCGATCTACCAGCAGCTGATTGCGCTTGCTTCTCGGAATAGGAACCCGCTAATTGCCTGTCAGCTCTATGAAGAAATGTTAAATCAAGGAATTCAGCCCACTGTCGCAGTTTTCAATTCCATTATCAATGCTCACTTAAAACGAGGGCAGGGTGTTCAGAATTGGTTAAAGCGGATGAAAGACAATGAGTTCAAGCCGAATGTCGCGACCGTTACTATCCTCTTGCACAACAAACTAGCAAGGGGAAATACAACGAACGACGTATTCCCTACCTTCGAATCCATTTTCAACGACGAAAAGCAGGAAGTGGACATGGTATTTGCCTCGGTTGCCATCGACTACTTTGTCGGTGTAGGTCGGCTAGTGGAGGCGCGCACACTGTACAATGCCATGGTAGCGCGGAAGATTCAACCTGACCCATCAATATACGGATCCTTGATCCGTGGCTATCTCATTGAGCGTGATGAAATCTCTGCTGAAGAAATGATCAGGGAAATGGCGCGGGACGACGTAAAGCCCGATAGGTATATGATGACAAAATTGATCGACGGCTATCTACGACGTAACGACTTCGACACTGCCTCTCGTGCATACCGTGAGATGCTTCGGAGCACCGGCCTGCGTAATATCCGCGCAGCTGGTATTCGACCGGACTCGCACGTGCTTTCTGCATTTCTTGCCTCCTTCGCCCGCCTTAAAGATCCGGAGACCGCCCTGAAAGTTTTTGTTGAGATGCGAACAAATGGGGTCAAACCTGATGCAGCGGCGTATACCCAACTTATGTCATTATTTATTCACGATGTGTCCGTTGTACGCCAACTGTGGGCGGATCTCCAAGCAACTGGGGTGACGCCAGATGAAGAATGCTTTCGCATCCTGTTGGTGGCCACCATTCAAGATGACGCAGATGTCTCTGATATCAAACAAATATTCGACGATATGACGCGGCACAACGTGGAACCGAACTCACGCATCTTTAGTGAGCTAACAGCCCCGCAGGGTCAATTTGGAGAACTGCCTATGACGCAAGCGGTTTTTGATCGGATGCGAGCAACCAACATAAAGCCGACTGTTTATGCATACGGACGAATCATACGAGTGCATGCCTGGGAAGGGAACTTTGAGCAGGCAGAGTCCTATTTTCGCATGACACGGCAACACGGGCTTTTGCCTAATGTACATACGTATAATTCTATTATTCGTGGGTTTATCCGGTGGAAACGGTGGGAAAAGGCGCTGGAGTATCATGGAATGCTAATCGCGGAAGGGTGTCCGAGACTAGCAGAGTTGGAGCATCGGATGGAGGAAGTGAGGAGAGCGGTTGGAGAAGAGGAGTGGGAAAGGCATTTGACGGCAGGAAAGGCAACTTTGGTGAAGAGGTCAGCTGACACTGTGCCGGCGTCCTTGGCGGCGAAGGAACGACTACCGAACTTTCCGTGTTCCACGTTAAATGTCACTAGCACGCTTGCCAGGTTACTTTTCGGCGATGGCGACGATGCGCAGGAAGGTTGCAGCAAGGACGGCTCCCTGGAAGCTCTAACAGATGTCTTTTCATCACCTTTACCTGACAAGACGGTGCGGGTTCAAGTCGTGCATGAAGTTGATGTTGAGGACCGGG